GAACCTCGGTTTGTGTTGGGTAACAAACTGAATCTACTATACGTTTGGATGCTCATGTGTACGTGTTTTTTTTCATTCAGTCAAGAGCAGATATTTCAATCGAGCTGCTTAAACCTCATTTGATGCCAACAGCGAAATTAAAAGTCGAACAATTGGTGGTTCCACGTAAATGATCTTTTATGGGAACATTCTGAATAACTGCCTTGTTTGCGTGATTCATTTTAGCTCATTTTTATGCATGTGTGAAAGACATAACTGTTCTATTAATGCCTGTTCGCGTGTTTAGATGTGGGTGTGAAGTCCTTGTGCTTAAGTCTCAAGTAATTGAAAATTGAGCAGAACAGTAAAGTTGTGGGCTCATGGCTCATGGCCTAATTTGGCAGATGGCTCAGTGAATCTCTCTGTGGAGCCATTCCCTAAAGTTTGTGTGTGCATGGTACATGTATTTCTGCTTGTGTAACTCCTCGGAGACAAAGCGTCCTCTTAATGATTCAAGTTTACATCAAGATCAGCACAAGAAGTTTGAAGCCAGAAAATGATTGCAGATCTTGGTGTTGGTTTAGTTTTCGTCCTCGCTGTTTGCCCTCTGCCCCCCCCTTGGGGTCTCCTTCACCTTGCGAGGGCTCATTGCTTCCTCCAGCCAGTCACCAGGTTAATGTAGTCAGTTAACAAGGCTATTCCCTGAACATTCGACGCCATACATTTATTTTATATTAGTGAGTCCCCCCAGTGGAGAACCAGGGATTACTTTATCCCCACTTTGGAGGTAATTTAACTTTAATGTGATTATGCGCTTTAATATAACCACAGAGGCATCTTGTAAACTGCCAATACAGACACCTGGAGGTGTTGTAACACAGAGGAGCTTCGTTATTTCCTCAAATAAAACCTGCATGATCATCTCCTAACCAGAGGAGTGGACTCTTGAACAAGCTGCAAAGTCTTTGTGAAGGAGAATGAGAGAATCAAAGTTTTGCGTTCTGGCTTAAACAGATAGACGATGACATTGTTGTGCCTCCAGTCATGAAGGACTGGCTACTGGAGGCTGGTGTAAGGACTATTAATCCCAGAATGCATTGTATTAAATTACTTTCAGTTTCGAGAGGAGGAAGTTTCACTGTGTGAAATATGATGACATGTAACAAACAGGAAACACTAAACAAACGTTGCCTCTCTTTTCATCCGTCATTTGTGGCGGCGACATCAGGGAGGAATATTTTCTACCTTAAACCCCTTTTCTCTCGCTGGTACAGACAAAGCCCACTTTGTCGTCCAGGAGCTCTGGATCCAAAAATATACAGGTTACAGTTTTGTGCATCGAATACTTCCCAGCCAAAAGAAAACCTTGACCCTGGTTTTATTCGGAATTCTGCAGAAGGAGCCGTGGAATTGCAGGTTCCCCAAGATTGCTACTGACCACCCGAAACTGGCTTCTAGTCCCCCCCATATGCGAGAAGAGAAAGCAGCTAGATGATCATCAAATAGATGTGAAATGCAGTTTTACAGAGACTGGTGACCCACTAGCCAAAAACTGTTGATGTTGTGCAAATGAGAGCTAAAAAGATGCACCATCTTACAAGCTAACCCTTGCCAGTTTCATTAAATAGCCCTGAAACATCCAAAATGTTCAGTTTTGTCAAAGGCAATGATGGCTTAAATTCAGCTCAGGGCTCTAGGATTCACAAAACACATCTTTTCCTGCTCAAACTGATGCTGATGAAAAAAAGGAATCACCAAAACATAATCCACAACCAGAAATGGGTGGTGGACAAATGTATGTGCTCAGGTACTTAAATTACGGTAACAGCAAAATGATTATCAAATCAAATGTTTTTTTTTGTTTGTTTGTTTGTTTGTTTGTTTGTTTGTTTGTTTTCCCCCTGAATCCAGCAATTAAATTGTACATCTATATGTAGGAAAATCAAACTGAGATTCATTTGTTATTTTTCTGGCCATTTCATCTGTCTTTACTGAGACGAAGTTGCGCCATCAGCAGCAGGTTGTGTGTGAGCGCTTCCCAGTGCACCTCCCAGCAAATGCTTCATGCTGACACGTGTCTGTACGTGTTAATCACAGATGTCTATTTCTACCCCACTCTGGCCTCCTCCAGACCTCCTATGGCTCTCCCCCCCTGTCTTCCTGCCCCGAGCAACTGCAGCACAGGTGACACGAGGCGGCATGAGTGGTGCACCGCACATCCATCAGACGGCAAAAAGCAGCAGGAGAGAGCAAACTGAGCTAAATTTGGGGGGTTATTATTCCGTAGAAGCAGACTGCCACAAGTTATGCAAGAGTTTCTTATATATTTCCTAGAAATTAGTTGGTTATTTTCTTTATGCTCATCTTTATGAGATGCCTCGCGTAAGTTTCACGTGTCATCCACGTTGCCGTTATTAGAAGAGTTAAAATGTCTGGTTCTGATTTGTCCGTTTTCATTTTGTCTGTATGTCGATACCGGATACCAAGAAATGTAATGGCCTATCGTGTTCAAGTGGGAGTAATGTGGAGGGTAATATCTTCTTTTTGACTTATGCCCTCTGTATTTCTGTGCTCATCTTTTCCCTGCTGCAAGCCCTGTAGCTCTGTCTGATATCCGCTCACGCAAACACGACGACTCTCCATGCACACAAGAGAGCTCACTTGCACACATGTATGCACACATAGACTTACTGCAATTAGAGTCATATGGTGTGAGCTTACTGCTTCCCACGGCTTCACCCGATAAGGTCATTTTGTTAGATGAAGACGGTAAATACATCCAATACTGTGAGTTAGATATTATGAATTTATTTCGCAGGCACTTCCTCTCACCAAGCTGCGAATTTAGTCTGTTTCATATTACCGCATTCGCAGCATCTCTTCTTTTTCCGTCTGTGAAACTGTTATTTTTCACCGTCTGCGTTTTATTTCCCAAATGTACAACAAATAAAATATGAAGGGCATTAATGCAAACAGCTGCGGATGATGAAATGGGACAATGGCATTGTGAAAATTGCCAAACAGAAATGAATGTGGCACTCTGAGATGCGTGTTAAAGAACACCATTATTCTTTCACACAATTGGCCTCTGTTTGCCTGCTAATATGTCTGTTAGTCTTGTCTGTATAACTGAATACCGTTAATGTACCAAGTGCTGCCTCATAGCAAAAAAAAAAAAAAAATGGTTTGATCTTTGTTTAAAGTGTGTCAGCTTTTTAGCCCTATTAGTAGTTGATTTCTCTTTGGGATGTGTGTGAAGCACTAGGGAGGCTGCACTTTAAAAGGTCACTAATGCACTCAGCTTGCTGAAGGGGAAAAAAAGGAATGCTGGATGTTTGTTTTTGCTTTTTTTTATATATCTGTCTTTACAGCCAGTTACCTGGAGATTCAGACCATAACATTTGAAGATAGCTTAGTACTTTGACTATTAGGAAAGAGGAAATGGAGAAAGTGTGAAACATTAACAGCACCTGCATCCTGTCTCTGTCTACATACAGAATAATCGTGCTCTGACCAGGAGTCTATGAACATGTGTATGACACGCTAGCAGATGCCGTCCTTCCAAACCGGCAAAAGAACAGTCCGAAGTTCCAGGCGGTTTACTTTGCTGCAGTTTCACACAAGCGGTGGGCCAGTGAAGCAGGGAGTTGTGGTCACTCTGTAACACTGACTCGGTGTGGGCCTGCAGATAAGAGTTTGGCCAGCTCAGCTCAGCCAGCATCCCCAGCTCAGCGAGTGACTGCAGAGTACACCTGGGCTGGCAGCTTCCGACCATCCAGGGACAACTGGTAAAGGCTTCTTCCTCAGCTGCAGCCCAAACTGACAAAGAGAATCATGTGCCGTGGTAGGAGCAAACAGAGCAAGAGTGGCAGCGTTTAATGTGCGACTATATTATACAGAGGCTTGTGTGTGTGCAGTTATGTAAGTACGCTTGTGCATGTGTTAGGGGCTCTAGATCCAGAGGAGTCTAGTCTACTAAAAGTTGCTCACAATCCTAACCTTTATATTTGTCATACAAAGTTAAAGGTAGTGCACAATAAGAGAAATATATTTTTAAAAGGTCAACTTATGAAAAAATAGAGGTAAATGTGCACAGACATCACAATGCTTGGATGTTTACACAAGGAGCAAAAGAAAACTGCAAAGACAAAGAACAAAGCAGATATAAAAAATGCATAATCAGTGTTAGACCCACATCAGCATTCTTTGCACTGCGTACCTCATATTAAAATATCAAAATATAGTTTTATGTTTGAATACTTTACAAAAACTACCAAAAGGACAAGCTGAAAGTATTTCACATGGTAAACATTTAAAATCACATCTCCTATTGTTGTAAAAACACAGTGAAAGGTATCCATCAGAGTACATTTAGAACTGTGATTTACGCTGTTGTGAAAGTAACGCATCACATGAGCTTAGCCAATCAGAATGCTCGTCTTCAGCTGTTAAACTGGTCTCCTCAATAGCGCTTAATCTAAAAGGGTAAGGTTAGCAACATTCATCGCACCTGCATGCATTTTTCTTTCATGCTGATGTGCTGACATTGAAAACTTCAGAGAATAAGTTAGCTCTTCATAACTGGCAAACAATTAGCATCTGGTCGGGTGTATTCTCAAAGGGCTGAATAAAGCTGTGAAAACATTTCTAAGATGGTTCAGAGGCTGTGGTGTTATCTTCTGCAAATAAATCGAGGACTGATTTAGAAACAGGAGAAAAGAGACACAAGTGAATCATCTGTGAGGTAATTGTCTGCCTGATTATGTGCCTGGAACTTTGTTTTAACAAATTATGTTTTAAGACTGTTGCAAGTCCCAAATTCCTTTATTTAAACTGTGCAAATCTGATTTCCAGTGCCGAACATGCAATTTCAGAGCATGCAGTTTTCATTTAGTACACTACCTGGACATGATTAACTACAAAAAAACAAGAAAACCAAAGAAAGATGCATCACATTTCTGGTGATCTAATTGCTCTCCATAAACCAAAATTACTGATAAATACACAACTCATGATCACTAAATTTAAGCTGATTTTATTCCATTATGAATTCTGTTTGTATTCTATAATAGCAATGACAAAAAATATTAATTTTCCACCCAGAAATAATAAAGACTCTGTGATTGGTGTTTGGTTAGAACTGAAGGCATTCTTTGCTGATTTAGCTGAGTGGACAAAAGAGTTACTTTGACGCACAGATACAAATGTACAGCGTATCTGTAAGGTATCCACAACTCTTCACTTCCCTAATAAATCAACACTCACTCTCACTAAAAGGCAAAGTGAAGAAAATGTAAAATGTTGTTTTAAAATACAAATTAAGTTGAGAAACGGAGCAAAAACTATAAGTACTTGTGTATTTTTAATACAATACAAATGTATTGCCTAAGAAAAAATAAAATTAAGTATGTGCAAGAAGTAAAGTGTTGTGAAAGTGTACAACAAATTGTCTTAGATTCTCGTCAAACATACTGTTTCAGGACAATAATGCATTATCTGAGAAGGAGTAAAATGGTGCATTGAACTTTTCAGACATGTTAACATGCTTCCTTCTGAGTGATATTAGTTCAGCAAAAAGCCTCAAAAATGAATCAATAGATGAATGAATAAGTGGAAAGCTACAGAAAATAGTCAGATTTTTCACAAATTACACTGTGAAAGTGCATACAGTTAATTCTCACTGCTGTTTAAGTGATGAACTTGTTGAATGATTCTCTAAGGATCCAGGTAGAGCAAGCAGTGTCACATCCCATTCCTGGCAGGTCTGAGGAATGTCCAGTCCTTGACACTTGTCCAATCTAAAGCTATCACAACCTCTCCCCTCCAGCTTCACGCTCACTAATCTCTCCTGACACCTTACAAAGTCCCGATAGGGAATCAGTCTACCCTGAAAACAATCCGGCACTCCTCCCTCGTCACCTCAAATCGGCACCAGCATGCCTCGCTGTCTGTCTGTCTTCCTTAGATTTCACTTTGCCCTCCTCCTCCACCATCCATTCCCTCCCCATTACTTCCCTCTATAGCCCACTCTTTCTCTCACATTTCCATCTGTCTTTGTCAAACTATATTCTGCTCCTCGCCTATCTTTCCTCCCTCCGTATATTCTCCTCCGTCCTCACTTTCTCACTGGGTATATCTTGCCTCTGTCGGTGGGAATCTGTTAAAAGACACTGTGATTGCCAACTGAGGAATAGCCTGCTTTCACTTAGGGACTCATTTCCATTCAAAGGCGAGTTTTTTTGGTTGTTTTTTTTTTTTTTTTTTAAACTCCACCACTTGCTGTTGCTATAGTTGGAAGGTCATTATCTCCAAGTGCACCTTTATTTCCACAAGTAGGAAAGCTCCAGGAATAATTTTGGGTTGGATAAACAGAAACATCTCTCCCCTGATGCCCCTCACCCTAAATATACTTCCCTCCTTTGAGGCAAGAGATAGACGAGGGATCTGGAGATAGGATCTTTTTTTATTATTATTGTTTGCTCTGTGCGTCCATTATTAAGATGCGGTGCTTACACAGAACAAGAAAACACAATTTTCCAGTCATAATGTTTGCTTTAGCTAGTTAGTCTCGCAGAGTGAATGAGATCCTTTGAAAATCATTTTCCCTAATTAGTGTATTTGGGATTCAAGAACTCTCTTAAGACGAGTCACTCAAAAAAAAAACCCATTTATTATTTAAATGTATTCAACAGTTCCAAAAGATAAGATAAACAAGTCATAGATTTCAATTACAAGCTGTTTGTTCTTGTCTCCGCATCTATAGAGGCTCCACCCTACAGAGCACAATCTCATTGGCTGCCGAGTTAAATATCTGTCATTGGTTGTTGCACAGAATACTGCAACTATGGGGAAAAAAATAAATAAAAATGAAGTAGTTGTGGCGCGGCACATGCTAAAAGGCAAACACACTGATATGCACATGTACTCCTTTCATACACACACACACACACGCACACCCACACACACACACACACACACACACGTTGAACACGCACTCAGGCGTGCAGTCATGAGAGGCAAATTCACCCATCCAATCAGTTTCATTCTCACGCAAGCTGTCCGGCCACTATGTTGAACAGATCTTACCATAATGCCTTTATGTCAGTGTATATGCTGCAAATGAATGGATGACATCCAGCGAAAAACACTGAAACAGAAAAATTACGCACTCACTGTTACACTGCTCCAGCGCCTTCTTTACCACCCCATCTGGTGGACTCTCCCTTCTGCCCTCTGCATCAAAAGCCAGATTTTTTTTTTCTTCTTCCTTTTCTTTTCTTTCTTTTTTTTTTTTTTTTTTTGCTGCCTAAGAAAGCTCAGAGAGCAGCACGGCACAGAAGAGGAAGGGATCAGTGCTATGCGACCCCTGAATCTTAAGATTTAACTTCTTCACATGGCTTGTTGTGCCAATTGGAGCATCAACACGAAGCCAGAACAATGAAAGGATTATTTAAAGTCTGCTTTAATCCAAAGAGAAGCAGGACATTGTGTGACAGTGCAAGAAACAGTGTGAGGGGGCATTATCTATACGAGATGTTACCTTTTCCATATATATTGGAAGTGCAGAATGTATAATTATTCTCCACATGAATAAAACATACAGTAGATACCTTGTAATACCCAATGATGAAGGAAAAACACCCACTGCAATAAAATACTTAAAGTCTTCATTAAATATTTCTTTTTCCAGCTGTTAGATCTCTTATATGCATCACAAAGAACATCTCTCATTCAAACAGGATATCTTCACAAGGGACAAATATATTCTTTTTTTTTGTTTGTTTGTTTTCTAAATCTCTTTTGTGCAGAATAGTATGCATATCAACAAAAATAAAAACACAATCTAGGTTAATTTGCACGGAACAACACTACAAGTTCCAGCCAGTCCAGTCCTCTGAAGGGACAGCTGACTGCCGCCGCTGTGGAGTAAAGAGGTGAAAATCATCCACTTTTGCAGGGTTGTCGTTTCTGTTGATATTTCTGTGCAATGGAGCAGGGCTAAAGAGGAGAGACACTGTAAGTGAGGAGCTTCTGACACATCGGTAATGTGGCAAGGGGTGCGGAAAACCAGCCCATCTAACATCCCACTCCTCCCACGCCACCTGCTAGCTGGTCTCGGTGTGTCCTCAGGGAGCTCTCCATCCCGGCTTGGCCGCCGGAGCCTGGATGTCTTGGCTGATGGATATGAAGCAGAGGTGACTGCGATGATGGAGAGAATTAGGAAAACTAGGAAGCATTCTGGCTTTTTTTAACACACACAAAGCCTCCCCCCCCCTTTTTTTTTACCCCTCTTTTGTCATGAAACTCTCTCTGAGTATCTTCCGTTTTGACAGTCTCTGTGTCTGTTTGTTCTCAGTCTGCGTAGAGGATGAAGCCAGAGAAGGTGCTGTACTTATTGTTGTTGCCGCCGTGGGCTTTGCCTCCGTCTAGTTTGATGTACACCTCATCGCCTGCGTCCAGATGGAGGATGACGCTGTTTGAGGCGTAGTCATAGTTCTGGTCAGCGTCTTGGGCAATGGCGCTGGCACGAACCTGCAGGAATGGGGGTGGGGACGGGGGGAATATGAAGAGAAATGGATAGTCTTGTTAGTTACGCCATATGTACATATATAGCTCATTTCACCCAGCATATGTTCGGAATCAGTTGTCAGTCTATCTTCCTTTTCAGACAGCTAGATACTAAATTTGGAGTTAATCTCAATTTTAAAACTGAACCACAACACCTGGCTTAGACAGGTCATTCTTGTGAAAGATAGTTAAGATACCATTTATAGAAAGATACAGGGAGATAGAGATGGATGGAGAGATTTAAACTTTTATATCCATATAATTTGTGCCCTCTTGTTTATTGAAAAAAGCGAAAATATGTAATTAGAGTAGAGCCACAGTGATACATCCAAATTAGAGGCTATTGCAAACACACACACAGTTAAAGGAAGTGGACATGGAGGATTGGAGGATCGTATATAATTGTTATGTTGCCAGAATGACATAAATGTGTAACAACATTCTGCAGTTTGAATGAAAAAAGATGACCAAATAATATTTTACAACAAAAGCCTGTTAGCTGCAGTTTCATTACCCTGAGTTTGATATAATAAAAACAGAAGAGGCTTCAGGGAAATATCAAAGTTTACACGCTTCCCTAAAATAAATTAAAAGTACTACACTCAGCAAAACGAGCATTGGTTTTATACAAATATTGTCATATCTTATTTAAAATCTGTTTACTGAAGCTAAGTTATCTTGCAAAATACTTTGCATAAATACTCACCCCTTATTATTTTATCACATTACACCCACAAACTTCAGTGTATTTTATCAGGATTTTATGTAATAAGCTGAGGCAAAGAAGACTGTGAACTGGATGAAGGATGCATATTTTTAAAAATATTATATTCTGAAAATATAAAAAAAACATGTTGTAAAACAACCTTTTTATTTGTAATTGCAGCTCCAAATCTTTTGTTGTATTGACTGATTTCATTTAGGACGGGGTGTGTGTAAATAAAAATGCACACCATATTTTTCAGATATGTACCTGTTAATGCTATGACATGAAGCATCGATAAAATACCAGCTTTTTTTTTTTTGTCATTGATAAAATGTGAAAAAGTTCCATTGGTGTGAATAATTTTGCAAAGCACATACAAGGAGGAACTCTTTAAACGCGATAAATAATGTCTTGAATAATGAATATATGTATATTTTTCGTACATACTTTCTAAAATTTAAATCACAAGTTTTGCTGATACGTTTAGATACCTGTTGCAAAAATGATCTCTTCATTCCACCTTTAAAAACATCCAATATTAGCCACAAATTTTAACTTGCACCACGTGGGTAAACATAAATAACATTTTGAACATTTAAATTCATATTTGACAAGAAAAATAAAATGATTTTCCTGTTGGTGCTTTATTTGGATATTTGTTGTGGATTTGCAGTTTTTCAATAAAATAAAGTGTAATTTGAATTAGAAGCTTAGAAAAATAAATCCATTAATAATAGCTTTAAAGTTTTCTCATTTGTTGTGCATGAATGTAATTTCCGAAACAAACAATGTTTAAACAAGTTTTATGCATGATCATTTACAAATTAAAGAAACCAGTTTATGACAGGCAGATATTACATACACTATTTTAGTGCTTAAATAAACCTAGAAGATTGTGAATATTCAGTCTATTATGGTGCAAAAATAAATGTATTATTCTTTCACCTAATTACAAAAATAATCAAATAGCTGTGCCTAAAAGTGTGGCAAAAATAAGTAAAGTTCTATATTTGGTTGCTTCTTGAAAAGTTTTAAAGTGTGAAGTTAAAAGAATTACTGGACAGAGCTGACATTTAACCCACAGGACCTACAAGAGGGACAGTCAAACCTCGGGCCTTTCTGTCAAGCAGATTTATGGTTTCAATTGAGCCAGTGGTCTTTCATAAAGAAAAAAAAAAAAAAAAAACAAGGAGAGAAAAAATACTAAGGTTTCACCTTGGAACAAAAGGTCCATAGAACAAAAAGTCTCAGAAGCTCCACAGCGAGGCACACTCACAAGATTTTATGATAGAAATCACTCAAAAGTACAAAAAAAAAAAAAAAGAGGCAAACTATCAACAACAGGAGATCTCTTTCAAGATAAGTAGGAGTGTCTGGTAACAACTGACAAGACCCATGGGACTGATCTGCCTAATAAATAAGTAAAAGAGAAGTATTTTTCCATCTGTGTTTGCTCACAGAGTGTATTTCTGTGACAATGAATGTGTGAGTCTGACTACAGGGCATTCGCCGCAGCTTCCCAGTATCCTGTCCTGGGTAATTAAGAGCTCCACTACAAACACTCGGTGTCTCTCCTGAGAGGAAGTTTCGGTGCCACGCAAGTTCGAAAACATCAGCTTATTTTTCCACGCGTGTGGTTTGTGTGTATAAGTGATACAAATGAAAACTGCTTTTAGAAATGACAGATGCTGCATGAGGATTTTATATTAGGCTGGAGGGTCAGAGGTAGTATACAGCATGAGGTCAATATGATTATCTAACTTATAACTGCTATGGGACAGAAAACACAGTTCTGTTACCGCTTTCTTTTTAAAATTAGAGGACTTAAAATTGGATTTAGCTCATATGCAAATGCTTTTAAACAAAGCCTTTGTAGTCTTGCAAATAAACTTTAAATTGAGTTGAACTTAAACCAAAAAGATCGTCACAGAATTCAAATTTTCTGTAGTTGTTTGTGCCCATTAGAGGAAAAACACACTGTGCTTTACTTTATTCCTCTTGGACAATGGAGATGTTTGCTAAAGGACTGATATAGATAATCAATTACATTCTGCAGTGCAACAGTGCCACTTGATCTCAGTCCAGCTTAATATCAATACATAATGAAAACCAGACTGAAGGCAATAAACTTCTGGAACAAGTGAGATGTGGATGTGCTTACAGTGCAGACCTGGGAGAGTCGATGCCTGTGCTTCACAAACTGTCAAAATAAAGACATTTAGAGCTTTATTAAACTGCATTTCACAAGGATTTTTGTCACTTTGGCTGTTTTTGATGACAGATTAAGAGAGAGATGCATCTGCTTGTTTCTGTGTTCCTCTATATTAATTGACCACTAATTGTGCAGTACAGCAGAGTCCACCCTTAAACCAGACATGAACTACAGATTCTGTGTATTACCAATGTTTATGTCTTTATCTTATTGTGTCTGTGGTCACTGCACTTTTGCTCCAAAAGAACTTTCCTTAGACTATAAAATATATCTTATCTTGTTTGTAAGATCACATTTACCAAGAACTAGTTCAATTCAGTTCAGATAATTGAACTAATTGAGTTCAGTTCAAATTAATTCAGTTAAAGCAGAATTCATATACATTATCACCTAAACCTTTCCAACTTTTATATGTTAAGTAGTTATTGTTCATTTATAAATTTCCTCAAAGTCTGTAATAATTTTCAAATTATGACTTTTTGATTACACCGTTGCCTATTCACAAGCTGCTCTTGTCTGCAAACTTGCGTCCTTTCAATTTTATGTGGTTTTCTTTCATAAATGATAAAACAATGAGGCCAAACTCACGTAAAAGCTGGTCTCCTTGATATATTTTCATGTTTTAGTTAAATAAAGTAGAAGATAAAATAAAATGTGATGCTGATCATGGGTATCTGTCAGGCTGCTACAATTTATTTTTTTTTCCTCGCTTCAGTTAAACCACTCTTTTTATGTTCTTCCCTCTTGTGATCAAGCACCATTTGATTCAATTTAATTCAAGTTAGTTTATTACAAAACACAACACATGCCATCTCAGGGGACTTTTCAAGAGAGCCAGACTCAATTCATATTCAGTAATACAACTATAAAAATAATTCTGTACAGGATGAGCAACGAACATTAAACAGATGGGAAAAAAAGAATTAAAGTCCGCAGTAGGTAGGTAGGTAGGTAGGTAGGTAGGTAGGTAGATAGATAGATAGATAGATAGATAGATAGATAGATAGATAGATAGATAGATAGATTTTTTTAGCTAGTTTATCTTGTCGTCTGTTTGCTCTTTATTTGATTATTAAAAGTTTTAAAGTTAACCAGAGGGCTGCAGGGTCGTGTACCTTGCAGCAAGAAGGTCTTAGGTTCAATTCTTAGCCAATGGTCTTTTCACAATAAGTTTAATAACATTCTCCCAGGCATGTGTGGGATTTCTCCTCTCACAGTCAAAAAATGTAGAAAAACAAAATTAACTATTTGGTTAAATCTGTTCGGTTACTTTAAGTTTCCCTTAGGTATATGTGTGCATGTGTGTGTGTGCGTGTTTGCATGCCTGTTTGCCTTGTGTGTTTCTGTGTTCCCCTGAGATGAACTGGCAACTTGTCCAGCGATCTCCTCTCCATCTCCTCTCTCTCCCAGTGACCACTGGAGATACGCCATGTAAGGATAAGCTGGTAAAGAAAGTGGACGGACACGCTAACAGAAGACATTGTTCCTGTTTCCGTAAAAAAGAAAATGTTTCAGATCCTTTTGTTGAGGATGAAAGATAAAAGCCTCAATGGAGGAAACGGCTTAGCTCCACTGTTACATCAGAGCAGGAGGAAACTTCTTTTATTTCAGAAGTCCCTGCTGCACTTCTGTAACTTTGAAAAAAACTTTCTAATAACCACATGACTGATAAGCTAAGACACTGTAAGATTAAAAGCCAGCCGGCTGTGGCTCCACAGTTTGCAGCAGGACCCCTGACCACGTGTGCAAAATACCGGGTGCCATGTCCATTGTGTCTTTACTTTTTCCTCCAAATTATTTTTTTTTAAAGCTAATGCTGAATGCCCACATCTAATAACTCGATAGTCAAATTAAAAGTTGAGGAAAACATACATTAAACCAACAAATGTGTTCACCCAAAGCTCTCAACTTTAGTAAGATTTCTGGTAATGACAAAAATGCAGAAAATTTTCTGCAGAAAATTTGCAGAAAATTATTTTCTGCAAAAATAATAATAATAATAATAATAATAATAATAATAAAAAGTTAATGTTTGTCAAAAATATT